AAGAATTTTTCTTTAATTAAATTTTCTCCAAAAAATGTAATATAAATTTATTTTTCTTTGTTTATGTTTTAAGTAAACTTTAGGGAGATTTACATAAAAAGTTATTATTAAGTGTATTTTTATTACTTTTTTTATGAGTACATTATATGTGTATGTTGAACAAAAAAAAAAAAGGATTGAAAAACTTTCATATTAAAACATTTTTCTTGCTCTTAATAAAATTTTGTTTTTTTTTCTTCATTATTTGATTTTTGATTTTTCTTTCCAGTTTCAGTTTCAGTTTCTTAATAATCTTTTACTTCTTATATTTTTGAGCTCTCTTGAGACGATCTCGAATATCCTCTCGAGGAGCATTCTGGATCTCATTTTATTACAAACAGAAATTGACTTTTAAAAGCTTTATTTTTCATAATTTCTCAATGGTTTTCAATTTTTATTTTATAATCAGAGTTGTGGTCAAAGCACTTAATTGCTCAACATGATACACACTTCCGAAAATCTATTTTTTACCAACCTTGATTTTTAAATCTTAGAAATTTGAAACATTTGTGAAAAATGTGAAGGTTCTTACAAAAATATACGGAATTAATAATTAATGTAACAAAAGGTATTAGAAACATTTGTGAAATTAAAGTTTGTTCCTTTATTCACTATAACGACTGTTTGTTCTCTCTCTCTCTCTTGATACTACATGATAATGCAATATTTTTTATGTAAAGAAGACGCAAAAAAAACTTTTAATGAAGATAGCAGAACTAAAAGGAAAAGCGAATTTTTTATGTTCAATGAAGAAAATTTTCGCAATAATAAAGAAGAACAGAAAACTTTTTATAAAGTAACTAAGTGTTAAATGAAAATATTCGACATGTTTTTCCATCACTTTTATTGAATTTTATGTGAAAGTTTCTTTTACAGGAGTCTTTTGAGCTACTTTTTATTTCAGCTTTCAATACTTTGTACTGCTTTGTACAGCTAATTAAACAATTTTTGAAGGAATTCTAATAAAACAATCCTTACTTTGAAGTACAATTTTCTACAATATTAGGATTTTTATTTGATACCCTTATATATTTTTTTAAAGCATTATTAAAATTTAATTGAATTTGCAAAACATTTAAACAGATTAAGGATCGAATGCTATTGACTGAGCAAATTTGAAACATAATTGACATTTTCACAGCACCGTAATTACTACAACAACTTTAAGTAACAAAACCTTATGACTCTAGTTTGTTTTTATCTTGATTGAATCTCAAAGCTGACACAAATCAATTTAACAAAGGCTATGTCACCCAAATATAGCGAAGAAATTGTTCCGAACATTTTTCTAGGATTTTCTTTCCTCCTTTCCATTTCAACATCATCGTTAATTAAAATTCAATATTGATTCTGTGCATTAATCGAACGTGAGAAATTTTCAACCTTTTTTTCTGTAAAATTAAATAATTAATTTATTCTTCTCACTTCTCTTTAATTAATTCGATCTAATTGAATTGGAATTGTAACAGTGAGTAAATTGTATGTGCAATATGCACGTTGAAACGTCAGGTGCAACAGTCGATTGTGTAAAGAAGTAGTAACAAGCATAAAGGAATTTTTTTGTTAATTATACGATTTCACATTCCCTTATTTGTCGAATATATATGCTTTACTACGTTGAGAGTTTTTGGAGCAAAAAACATTTGTCGATGATTAATAAAAAGCTGATAGAATTTCTCTAAAACTGTTAACATTTTCATTATTGCTTCGAAGTGCAGCAACTGTTAAAATCTAACATCTCATATTATTAAAACATTGTAAAGAATTGATTAAAGCGCTTAAATGACTCAAAAGTCCACAATGTATCACTTATCATCATTTTTAAACTTTATCAAAATGCGTCCTAGTCCTTGTAACTTTGGAAATTTCTTAATACATCTTGAATAAATCTACGTTATAAAAATGTAAGAATGGGTAAAAACTTTAATGAATTATATAAAATCAATATCAATCTGTGAAATTTAATTAAAACCAATATGAGATTATAGAACAATGCACTTGTTGGCATTCATTTGTAATTCGAAAATTCTATCAGTTTAATAATTTTTCTCGTTAAAGGAGATTGCAATCGTTTCCACGGATATTAGTCACTCGTTCTACACTATCGCCGTTCAATTTTGTATTTAATAGGAAATCAACAATGAAAATATATAGGAGCCACAAAAAGGGGAAATAGAAAGACAGTTTATTCATCACACTACTCGTTTGATATTTTATATTAAATTCCAAATATGAAAGTCCATTGTCCATCGTTAACAAGCAACAATGCATGTCATTATCGACATTGAGCAATTGATGCTACACATAAGCTGCAGTACAAGTAAAATTAAGGACATATAATTTTGGATATATTTCGTAAAAATAAAAGAGAATGAATTGTCTTGTACATAAAATATCTCGAGAAATGCATTTTGTGGGGAGTTCCATGACTACATAAAGGACATTCTACCAACAATGTAAATGCAACAAAATATCTTTGCTGGACAATTTCCATTGTTGGGTTGATAAAAATTATCGTCCTTTCAATCGTTTCTCACACACAGATGTATGTATAGTCATGAATACATTTATGTAACGTTAGGGAACACTGGATTTACTGTAACTTCTAACATCGACTAGTGAATGTTAAAAAAGGTTTTAAAATGATATTTATCAGGTTTGATAAAACTTATTAATGTTATTGCCAAATTTCTATTCCTCATGATCGATGTGTGTTTGAATTTAGACTAGTTTTGCATAGCTTAGTAATGCATTTTACCCTATCACATATTGTTTCTCAAACATATTAACAATCCATTCAATCCTTAATCAGGGTCATTTTTTAACATTGAACCCCTAAAATATATGCACTGCTTAATATATGGATATCAAATTATTTCCATCTATTGATGTCACACAAAGATTTTTGTTTATATTTGCAATATTTCATTTTCATTTTCTTATATTTATTTATTTATTTGTTCTTTTGTGGATATAAAAAAAAGAAAATATTTCTCGCAATTCAACACAAAATGATTTAGTTCCAGAATGAATGAAATTGCTTTGTTATTTTTTTATTAATTTATGAATTTTTCTTTTTCCTCATTTTCTTGCGCATTCATATGTTTATCTTTTGATTCACAGTAATATTTAGACAATTTATTTCGGTACGATAATCCAATTGAAATTTCCGAACTTCAGCAAATATTCAAAAAATAAATTTCATTTGAGGATTAACTTTTCAATTAATCTTTTCTGGAAACCTGTACAATTTCATAGCTCATTATCATCTCTATTATTATTATTACCGTTTATAATTAAATGACTTAATATTTCAACAATAAATGTATTTAATACAATTTAATATAATTCATCTGTTAATAATACAAATATGCCACACAATAGCATGGAAAGGGATGATTCAACCTCATCATTCATTTATAAAAATAATAATTTCAACCACAATTTAGATTTTAATGGATAAAAAATGTTTTATTATTTTAATTACAGATTGTTATTGTAAAGAATTAAGAACACCTGTTTTGTAGCCTCAAATCCACATACTTCCAAATATCTGATGTCTGCAACAGGAACAAAAATTGCATGATGATAAAATTTATTAAATGTTAATGTTATTTTAAGGGGTAACATTGTTAACATCAACATTGTTGTCGATTATGTCATTCTTTCAGCACCTCGTTCTATCGTTCTTTACACATACAATATATGTTGGCAGATATATACGGTTATTGTTTTCATTGCATAATTGAATAATCATGTTCATCATCATCAATTGAAAAATAATGAAAATTGGTGGGTGCTATTATCAGCATATTCAACTGAGAATGAAATTTAATTTAATTATATCATTACCGACTATACATTATAAAAAATTAATACATTTTTTTTAAATTACGAAAAAGTGTAAACATAAATATATGTGGCATTTTAGCTCAATAATTCAAGCAGATATATTTATTGGTATGTAAATTAAAGCACAAAGTCTACTGCACTTGTCTATAACCTAGCAATCCTCAACAAAAAATTTTTTCGAAATTAAATTTTGATTTCAATAGGCTGTCAATTAATACCACAATCCTCATATCATGAATTACTCTAACCAAATGCAGCAACGTTGCTATAAAAAGGGGATTAAAGAGCAAATTTCCAAATACTGACATCGCAACAGTTCGTTTATTAAAAGAATCATATAAAAATCCCTTCAATAATTTCATTTTAAAAAGGATCATAATTGTGGGAAAAATGCTCATTTAAACTTTTATAGTCGCTCTTTTTTTTAAATTCAACAACCCATTATTGTTCACCTTTTTCCGATTCATTGATATTCTATGACACTGCACAGCGGAGAGATTAAAGGAATAAGCCAATAATCGACGTCCGCTGCTCATTTTACAATTTCAAGAACACTGTCATTTTTTTTTTGCATATTAACAAGAAATGTGTAATGATGTGCGATATGCATCTATTAGTCTACCTTCAAAGAACAGCCCAAAAAAACAATAAAGCATAAAAAAATAATAATATTTGATGAGCAGATCAGCTGCGGTGAGTCACGTGCATCTCTAAATTTGCAAAAAATATTATTCCATTGTGTATCAAATTTCAATAGAATTAGCAAGCAATAAACCTCTTTTAATGAAATTGTTTTTAGATGGAATATGTATTGGAATATCTAATTGAGTTGATATGCGATGTTCATATGGAAAAATTGTGACGCGATTATTTTTAGCGATTGAATATATAATTTGCATTAATGATATCTAGCTGTAAGAGGGGTTAAAATCAATATTTACAGCACTAATCTTCATGGTCAAATATTATATTTTGAATATTTTCTTCATATGTAATTTTCATATACTTGTTCTAGTTACTTAAGCATTGAATGAAGTCAATTAATGAATCCCGCTTGCATACTTTCAAGGGGCAAAATAAAAAATTCCATCAGTTCTTTATTCTGTGTAGAAAAATAATTTATTAAGATTATTGACACTTTCGTGATAATTTAAGCGAACATAATCCTTATCCAGGGTTAAATATAAATAAAATAAAATTAATAATAATGGAAATTGAGTGAGTATGCTGGAAAAAATATTAAATATCTAATATCGTGTCTTTTCACCCGTGAGCTCGTTCAGTGTATAATCTAATTGTCCCTGTCCATTCGTGACGTAAACAATATGACTTCGATTGCCATTATTCGTGTACTTATTCTGTTGTTTCTGCTGCTGTTGTCTATTGTTAAAACTATATTGATTGTAATTTAAGAAACCACTATTGCCCGCATTTTCTGAAGATTGTGTTGCTGGATATCGATTGACTGATTGAATGTTCAAGTTATTTATCGGTCGTTGACTACCTGTTAATATTTCTTTTCCCTGATCACTCAACATTAGTCTTAAAAGATTTCGTGTAAATTGCTCGCTAAAGTTCTCAACATCGGGAAAAAGCATTTTTAATCGATTTGCAACATCCGATGATGAAACGAAATTTCCCTGATTAATTGCACTATTTGATTGCACATCGTGTGGAAATTTAAGAGCATAGTTTTGCTGCTGGTATTTTTCACTGTTAATTCGATTGTCATTTGAAAACGTAAATGGTCGTTCAAGTTCATCAAATAGGGTATTTTTATGTTGTTCAGGAGCTGCATCAATAAACTTGACAACATTATCCTTCAAATTTACAATCCTTCTTTGTATTTTATGTCCTTCATCATACATGCTCCTTTTGTTTCTAACTGAATGTCTTGTAAACCTATTTCCGATTCCAGTAAGTAGATTTGAAACAACGTCAGTTAATGTACTTGGTTTAAGTGAACTAAGAAATCCTCCCGCACTTTGGCTTTGATCTGCTTGTAATCCTTGATAATATTGTTGTTGTTGCACTGTTGGACGTTGATTTGATGGACTTGAGAAAATATTGTTTAAATTGAACAAATTTCCACCACCACTGTTTCCACTTAAAGTATCAGCAAGAGCTTGTAAAGCAAGCATATTTAATCCTTGGCTTGGTTGCTGTTGATTAACCTGCTGTTGTTGTTGTGATGCTTGCTGCTGCAAAAAGTCTTCATCACCACCAAAACTGCTTCCACCATTAAAGAATCGGAAAAACCCACCACGATGATTATTTAAATAGTAAAGCACTTGAGTTTCATCACGCGGACATCGTGGGTATGCAGTATCACACTCTCCGCCACTTAATCCCAGTAATGCCGCACGTCCAAAATTCATTAATGGTGAGGATGATGGAAGCGCTGAAATAATCCTAAAATAAAAAAAGTTATCAAAAAAAATTCATTTCCACAACATTGAATTTATGACTTACGCGGTAATTCCTGGAACATTTAAAAATGATGGTAACTGACTAGGTCGTCGTGGATTTCGAATCATTTGACATAAAAGTTTTGGAACACACTGCAAATCATCATTTATGGAAATATCCTCTAAAGCTTTACTAAATTGCGTTCCAACAGTCGATAACTGTCCGAGCGGACCATTCGCATCACGAATATTATTGATAAAGTTGGGCAAATTTCCATTGCTTGTTTGAGGGGATAGACGTTGATAGCCATACTGATTTGCATAATTATTTGTGTAATAGTTTGGCTGATGTAATGGATGACCATAATAATTCGCACCATTGCTTGCTCCAGTCGAATGTGTTTGAGATGATGGATAGTGAGTAGGATTATAGTAGTCATAGTAAAGTGATGATGCCTGTTGATTTTGTTGGTACGGTTGTGATGTGTATTGATAGTAATTAGCGTAATTCTGATAGATTGGACTGGCTAAATCCGATGAATAATGACTGTATGGGCTAGCAAACTGATATGGAAATTTTGGGCGCTTTCTTATCGGATTTATATTAACAGAATTTATGGAAGGTCGATAAACAGGTTGTGGTTGTTGTTGTTGATGATGATAGAATTGATTTTCGCTTAAAAAAGCTTGCGTTGGCGGTGAATGAACTGGCATTTTACCATTAAAGTTTAACTGCTTACGATTTTGATTATTAAAACTTTCATAATCATCGTTGGCAAATTTAGTCCCGGATATCTTAGAATATCTTTCGTCAGTTTCTTCATTGTTTGGAAAGAATCTTGCAGCACCTTCAATCCTTTTTACATTCAAATAAGAAAGCAAAAAACGGTATGAAAAAGTTTAAAGAATTTCCTTTAAATTAAATCTTGATGGCATCTAAAACTATTCAGAACTTTTTCCTTTAAACGTTTAATGTCTTGGAAAACGAAATTTTCTTCAATAGTTCTTTTTCATACTTACTTTGTTTGTCCTAGATCTGATTCAGATGTACCACTATCATCATCCTTAAACTGAATACCAAGTGAGATACCACAATTTATGCAAACAAGAACTAACAAGGATAAATAAATTCTCATCGTTTATCTTCTTTTCTTTCTTCAAACGCTGCTGTACGAACGATGTGATTGTGATGTTTCACTTTCAATGAACGATATTGTACTGAAAAGAAAGTAAAGACTGCACAAAATGTGACTTCGCGGTTGTGAGTATCTTAAAGTCAATTTTTCGCTATTTGTGTACGAAAAAAGCAGCAATAAACAGAGAAAGTGTTTTTTTTTATTTATATATCTCACATTTTGGCCGTGTTTAGTTAAAGCAAGTCTTTTAATTTTGATAATTTTTTGAATGATGACAAAATGTTGAGGTAATTTGTTTGGTAAGGATTTTCCTCGATCATTTACGAACTATTTTTATTTAAGTATTCAACCTTTCAATTTTACCTTTCTTAAGACTAGGGTGACCATCTGCGTAGTTTTACAACGGACAGTCCTGTATTTCAAAACCCTGTCCTGTATAAATTTGAAAACTTTGTTCCAGGTCCTGTATTTTTTTCACGAAAATTTCCGTTAATTTTCGAATTTTACTCTATGTCCTGTATTTTTCGAAAAAATTTACCAAAAGTCCTGTATTTTCATGAAAATTAGATGGTAACCCTACTTAAGACAAACTTATTTAATAAATATGAAATCAAATGGACAAACCAAGAAATTACGTATTCAAATGATGTGTCAAACTTTATTTATTGTCTCTCATCTGACAACTTCTTGATAAACATTGAGCAGAGTATCCAAGCATTAATATTCCATTCATTTAACTAATTTTGTAGGCGTTAAGCTTCAATACTGTAATACGCGTATATAAAATCATTTATTTTCTTCTCTTGTTTATTCGCAGTTTTACTTTCGTCTGCATCACATTTTATGGATTTACCATGTGAGTCAATCTCAGTCGTTAGTCAACAATAAAAATCAAGAGTAGAAGAAGAGAGTTTTTGAGTAGCAATAACAGAGAAAAGAAAAAGATAAGCGATTAGCCTCGCCAAGCGTGCCGTATTGCATAATTGAAATAAACTGGTATTTCCAATGCAAGAGTTGTTTCAAGGTGAATTCTGTATTGCATAACTGAACATTGCGAAAAAAAAATGGGAAATTTTTGAACAATGCAGCTGTATTGCAATTTTTCATTATTAAATATCATGACATCAAATTTTTTGTTCCCCCATCATCAAGTGCATTTTTCCATTTACTGTATGAAAAAGTTTATTGCCATTTTTTAGCCAACGAATTTGTGCGGAGGAGGAGAGAAAGTTACTTTAGCGATATATAAACAAAAATTTTTCATCTGAAACAACTATGGTAAAAAGTTGGTAAAAAGTGAATGACATCATTAACATTCGCAAAGTTTAATCGCGTTTTATTTATTTATTTTGCATGCAGAGATGAAATGGTAAAGTAGTAGTCTGAGATGTAATGAATTTTGCTGTAATACAGTATGCTTGAGTTGCAACAAATTATTTACGTACATTATTCTCATACAGCAAGGAAATTCAGCCTTAAACTGCCTTAAACTTAATTTTTTAGATCGTATAAAGTTTAGCAAGATATATAGATGGGCTCATACAGAGTATACTTGACCATACTCGACCATACTATTTTTTGTGTACTTATACAAACAAAAATTTTTAAAATTTTCTATTTTCAAGTTTTCATTTAAATATCGACAGATGCAACAACATTTGTCTTAAGTCAGTTTCTTTAAATTATAGCAAAGCATTTGCAATACTCCTGTATCAACAAAACTTAACAGAAAGTTGAAAATTTTGCAAAACAAAAATTAAAAATTTTCTTTTATAGTGTTAGTGTTTTTAGAAAATTCAAATTTTTGACGTTTAAAAACTGCGATATTTTTGTATGAGCGCATCTATATATCTTGAAGTTTAGGAACAAGTCGTGATTTTAAGTCGTTGATGGATGTTGTCTTGTGATGACTACTTGACGTTTATTTACCATTCCAATGATTGAAGAATATACAAAGTCAATTGAAGAAGTCACGTTGATGAAGTAAATATGTGAGTATGTTTCCTTATTGTTTGACTTATAATTAGTCTTATTCCATCACCTTGACGATGTCTATCTAAATCATTTCAACTGAAACTTCTTCCGTAATATTAATGTCTACTAGACAGGAAAGATTGGGATTAAAAACCAAAGCCAAAGATTTAAAAATTAAAATTCATGTCTTTATTTTTTCATTCTATGATTATAACATTAATAATGTTGATTTTAATTGCTAAGTAAATACTCTCGTCAGGCCACTTATACATATTGAGAAATTGAGTACAAGTAAATATTATTAAGTACAGAAAAATTTAAGGTTGGTAGCATACACAATAATATTTATCGACTTAACAACAATACACAAAAACGCTTGTAAACTAAGCACTTAACAACTTAATATCTTTTATTTTTTTAAACCTTAATTTAGATTATTGCAATATTAACTGCAATTTTGTGTCTATGGAATTTAATATTTCTAGTGCTGTACATTGTACATTGCAACTCTTAATGCACAAAAAGTGAAAAAGTGAAGGAAGAAGAAGAAGTGAAAACATTTCAATTGCGCGATTTTTTTCTACACAAATAAAATCCATTTTCCAAACTGTAAGCATGAAAATGAGCCATTCTTCTAGACATTTCGAAAACAAAATTCCTACACATGTATATGAAAAAATTACATACGCCCGGCTTTTGACTAGTTTCCTTATATTCTATGTACATATTCAATTGAGCCAATACCTTTTTATAAATCATTCTACTTAAAAAATAAGTCAGTGCATTTTATGCATAATTTTTTCTACATCCAAAACGATTTTCTTCATCCGAAAAAAATAACACGTTTTTTAAATTTATCGAAATGTCCCTAAAGTTATTTTCCTTGTTTTTTGTTTTTTTAATAAATTTCTTCAAACTTAAAGAAATAAATAAATTAAACAAAATGATGATGCATGATTCAATGTGTATTCTTAATCTCTAATTGGAACTTTGATGTTTCGATCGCATGCAAGTCGTTTGGAAAGTTGCTTACAGAGAGCTGGATCACGAACTTCATCTCCAATAAAAACTGATAACAAGTACCATTGTTTCATTCCATTTGATTGAACTTTGTAATTGCTAAAAAAATAAAATTATAAATTAATTAAAAAACTTTTAGACATGTTTAACGGACACACAATTTGCTAATCAGTAATCAACTTATAAAGTCGAACGAAATACGTTTTCAAAGTCATAATATATGTTAAATCAATTGAGACATTTTGTTGTCATAGGTAAGTAAAACTTTTTTGGTTTTCTTCTTTTTATTGCCACCTATATATTTACACTTACTTTTTTAAACAATTATTGCCAAAAGCAAGTCTTTATTACAAAAAAACCACTCTCTTTATGTAGAAAAAAAAGTAAATAAATAATTTTTTTCATCGTCGACGAGGAATAATAAAATTCACTCGTGTGGCCTAGTAAAGCAAGTCGGCATGTCCAGCAATAGAGCGGCATGAAGAAAAAATGAGAGGTAAATAAGAAAAGTGTGTCACTAAGTTATTTCACTGCAAGTCGTTATAGTAAGCAGAAAAAAATGTGGAATGAAAATGAAAGTGGGAAAATTATGTCATCGACTGCGAAATAAGAAGTTGAATGGACATTGAAATGAAATTATTATGTTGTTGCTGTTTTTTTAATGTATAATTATTATTACAGCATTATACAGTGGATTTTATCAGCAAGAACATTTAATAAATCACTGATGTAGTTTTATTTTTTTGTAATAAGCGGAACTTAGATTAAGACAAACAAGAAATATAATCTTAAAGTCACATTAATTTACCTTAAAATATCACTCCAGTCTGGTTGTGCACCACGTTTGGCTTTTCTTGTTGCATGAATTCTGCATGGCTCTTCAATGACACAAGCCTTAGGTCCTAATTCTGTTAAAATTTGTCTTTCTGCTATGGCTAAATTAATTGCTGACTCAGAAACTTCACCGTAATAATCTGATGCCTCTCTACGTGTTCTCCCCATGTAAGTTCCTAGTTATTGACATAAAAGATTTGAGAAATGATAAAAAAATCGACCCATGGCTAGTTTTGAGTTAGAAATGCTAATTGGCCCCAAAGAAATAAAATAACATCTATAACGTCTATGTCTATATACATCCATCAATGTTTACAGCTAAATGAGATGGAAGATTTATTAATAAAGGTAAATAGACATTTGGAGATAGACGTATGATATGGTTGTGCATAAATTAGGTTTTAAAGCATTACAAAATTTTCTTCTTTTAGAATCTCGTTATTCATTATCAAACTATGTTTCAATAGAATGAGTGATGAATTTGTCTTTGAGCTATTCCGGATATCACATGATTTATTCTAATTTATTGATTATTCTCTATAGTCAGTTGCATATATCATATACTGAAAATCTTTAATAAGCTTAACGTTCAGCAAAGGATTTAATTGAATTTTCTCTCTCTGATATTCTGAAAATCCTGCTTCTTAATATTTGATAAGTTTTAATAAGATAACGATATGCACATTCATAAATGCTTTAAAAATCAATAAATTCATAACATGTTACATTCATTTATGACAAGATATTCTAATGAATTTGAATAGACTCTTGATAATTTGTAAGCAAATATTTACAGTATTTAATGCTTCTTCACAATAAGAATTTTATGTTTTATCAACACGTATAATCCTACGGATATTCAATCCGAAGCATTGAATATCAAAAATGAAATTATTAAAATCAATTAATTTCACACTGAATTTCTTAAAAAAGTTTCTTCATAATCTTTAATTTATGACAATAAAATTGAAATGTGAAATTTAATCAACCTTTTAAAAATTAATTCAATTGTGATTTCATGATATTCCATTTTTGCTGCATTTAATTTGGTGTTATTTAAGAGGTAATTTACAGAAAATACACAATCTCGGTTTTATGCTCACATTAACCAATACATCAATTACACATATGAATTAAATTTTCTTTAAAATGTTAAAGATATCTTACGTATGAGTGGTTATATGGGGTATGTACAAGTGCTGATGAATTTTTGGTATGTGAAGAGTGCATTGCTTAATTTAATGTTATGAATACTAATAGCTCTATTACTCAGCTTGTTTAACAGCAAAATTCACATATTTGGGTCAAATTTAAATGCCGACAAGTTGCTCAAATATTTTGCACGTTCCATTTTAATTATGATCATTTTTAAATAAAAATAGTAATTTTTTGGTATATTTTGACTCATAATTAAATTATGATCCTTGAACACATTTGATTTTATACACTTTTAGCTTTTACTATAAAATAAAAATAAACAATCGTATAAAATAACTGAACTCTGCAACATATCAGTGAACTGTTCATTTTAAATTGTCAACTATATGCTTAAAAGTGCAAAGAGTATAAAATATCAAATTTATAGGACTTTAATATTAGCCTGCTAATGTACAGATTATAATTTATGAAAATCTAGGTTTGCATTTCAAAATGTAAACTGAATGCGATAAGTATAAATTTTTATAATTTCATGTGCATAACTTCATAGTGCTTACGGAATTCCATCACTTTCATATGTCGATTACACAAGATTGAAAAATTTAAAGTTCATTAAATGTCAACGAAAAATCGAAATTTCACTTTTAAGCTGGTTAAAATCTGATCATGTAATAAGGTTCCATTGTGCAATGCTTTTCATAAATATTTTGCACAGCTGAAATTGTGGTGAAACACCAAAACTCCTTGTGGTTTTCGAAAATTCAAATTTTAAAATTCCTTTTGACTTCACAAAAAAAAAATGGAAAAATTTTTTAGAGATGAAATCATTCAAATCAAAGGCTATGCCAAGGTTTATGATAATCAATTCCGATTTTAACTGTCACAGAAACTTGAAAATCTTGTCCTCAAGGGTATTGTATTTTTAAAATTTTAATTCATACATTTATTTCACTTTAATATCCATCAATCAGGGACCCAAAATTTGTGTAACAAGCTTGAAGTGTTGTGTTCAACTATACATTTATATCGACACGTTTTTCATTTCAATATTTATTGAACTCTTTTTTTTCTTGATACTTATTCATAAAAATTGCTTTTACATCTAATCTCCCCTTGTAATCTCAATAAAATGCCTCAAATCGTGTTTCAAGCGACATAAATCCATTTAGACTTCAATGATGAAATTGACAAGCAGATTTTAAAAAATCATATAATTGAGAAAAATCATATTTGAATTGTAATAAAATGCGTTTCAATTGACCAAAAATATAGCATATTGTTTTCCGCACATTTCTCTCATTCACTTTTAATATTAAACAATAGATTTGATGATTTATTGATCGGAACATTACACTTACTATGGCTGGAGAAAACATAAAACTCATAAATTTTCAGATGATTGAGTAACTGGCGCTTATGGTATTTCAGTCCGAAATATTATTGAGATAAAAGTCATTCTTTTTCATACCGGTTAACAGTCGTTATTATGAAGCATAAATATAAATGCCAAAAAATCAACTAAGCGTACCTAACAGTTGAAAAATATTTCGTACAAAAAATTCTGCTTACACATTAGTGTGCATAATATCTATCCTGAATGAATGAAAAATTTAACATTGGAATGTGATGAAAATTCTCCACATCTTTGAAAAACTGTTAAGTTGAAAAAACAGATTTCCAGTTTTTCTATTTGACAGCTAGTCAATTGCTCGGGTTTGTAACAAAAAAATTAAAATGAATGCTTGAGAACCTAATGTTTAAAAACTATACTTAATTATGCTAAAATTAGATATGCTTTTTAAAATATTTAACATCCCATAATTTTATACTTGCTTTATTTTACCGCACTCCTCATTATAATGGTCAGTACACATCAAAAAGTTCTATTTATGTTAAACTAAAAATCAAATTGGGACATGTGAAATAATTTTCGCATTTGATTTTCATTAGACCAAATGTAATGCTTTCAAAGGATTCTAAGTGCTTTACTTTTTGAAATATGTGAGGAAATAATTTATATTTGTGCGAGAATGTGTTTTATGCATCGGCGATTTCGAAAATTACAAATTACTACTAACAACTTTAATTATTATTTATCTCAAAGTCTCATTAAAACTCATTCGGATGTAATCTGCCGTGACGGTCTCCATCTCTAGTTTCTATAATCGATTACATAATTAGACGTGACCATCAAAATGGAAAAGACATGAAGATGATGAGACAAAAAAAACTAGAAATGTAAAATAGATTATGGCAAATATTTTTGAGAGATAACAAACTTAATTCGGCATTTACTTATTCACGCAAATATCAAAACGCTTATCCCATTTTGTATTTCGACTCCATTTTTTTAAAACGCACATAAAGTTAAAGTTTATCAAAACAAAAATATTAAAATTGACTTATTTCGCAAATCCAAAAATGAAGCGTCTATTATATATCGTAAATTTCCTTTCACTGCACAATACGTATTAGCCAATTTATTTTTATTTAAGAAATTGGTAATTAAACTCTTTAAAATAGAAATCATTGCCATTTTTTTTCATCTTTTCTTTCCTTTAGCATAGAGTAGTTTCATACTTAAAAACTATCTGCATGTATTAAATAACATTTTCTGCAATTTTTTTCTCTTTGACAAATCGAGATCAATATTTAAAGAAATGCCATAACTTGTTAGAAATTGGGTTTAAATAATTTTATGGTTGAGAAATTTGTTGAGATTCGCAATTTTTGTGTTAATTCATTCGACATTAAAATAACATAGCTTTCAATCTTATTCAAGTTTGGACATCTTATGGATCTTCCATATTACATGAAAAAGTAAAGCAAAAATAGTACTAAGACTGCCCATGTGTTTATTATGAAAAAATGCTTTAGAAATTATATTTGGCACTAAATCTTAAATGTGTCAAAAAAATTCACTTTCTTTGCTCAGAGAAAAAATACTTGCATTAAATTTAAAGAAGCAAACTCTTCATGAATAAAGATTAATTTCAGTTCATTTAACATCCATATGAAATAAAACTTATTTTTTAAAAACGAATTGTTCCTGCATTTTTTGCAAAAAAGCAATCCATCTATTCATTAACTTCTACATTTCATAATTTTGGATCATAATGAATACTTTGTAGATTCTGTAATAATGCGATTTCGAACAATGAATGAATTGCAACAAAATGCAACGGAGTTGGGCATATACAAATTCAATTTAATAAAAACAACAGCTTGACTTTACCCTCTTTTTTTCTAATGTTAAGCGAAACCAGCTCTCTTATCTTATTCATAATCGTCATAAAAAATAATTGCGAAATGAGTAAAATGCACACTCTTTATGATTTGTACATCATTATGTCTTTTGTTACTGCTTTATCACATATTTTTGTAATAAATCTTTCGTTTCATTCTCTAGCTCATTATCATGATGCATTATAATGGAGCATTCAAATGTCTAATAAAAGAAAATAAAACATGAAATTTCGCACAAGTTATTTAATGAATACATTTTTGAAATAGTTTCGATGATAATGACATGTAACGTTGCTTGTCACACATTTTCATTAAGGTAGGGTTTTCATTTCCTTAATTATGCATGATTAAAAAAAATTTGAAAGTCAAATTCAGGCCGGTTTTTAAGTGATATGATTTTTCAACACTTGACCTATGATTTTTTAAAATAAAAACTTGTTGAGATATTGACCGCGAAACTGTTGGTTTCTCTTACACAAAAATGTCACTCAATAATGATCCCTTCTTGGATATTAACTCAATGACATTAATAAATAAATTACACAAAAAAAGTCTCAATGATGAGCCATTCAAGCATTTCTGAGTCGATATTAATCAATGTTATTTAATTTACTTACTTGGATTTAGTGAATAAGCTAATTTCTTGGCAAAATTTGCCAATCGAACAGATAAAATAATTACTGGAAATCCAACTAATTGTACTGGTAATTCAAATGAAGGCTGACTTTGCGCTACGGTTTGTGAAGGACCTTCGGCTATTCCGATCAAGAATACAACCAACAGGTAATTTAAACAGAAGCAAGGTAGAATTAAATTTGTGAATTTCATTTTTTCTTTAATTATTTTAAGTGCTTTTTCTATCGATAATTAAACAATTTGTAATTTTTTTTCACTAGCACGACCTTCAAATTGTTTAAAAATTTACTTTCGATTACGATATTTTATTGAATTATCACTTCACGTTTTGTATGCTTAACGCTTCTTCCTCTTTCGTTAATTTACAGTCTAGTCGACCTAGTAACACTTTTTATTTCGTTTTATACCGAATATTGAAGACGAGTTGTCTGTAGAAAACACGTGTTTTAATAGCTTTAAATTTTTTGACTTTGAAATATTTGACAACCAGACACCTGGACTGAACACTTTTAATTCATTTAATTAACTTTTTGGCTTTTCACTTTTGTTGAAAAATCAACCAGAAGTTGAAAAAAACACGTCTTAACTTTAGCACTTGTCGATATGAAATGATGTCTAGTTTATGTTGAGACTGAACGAAGGCTCGCCAAACTTAAAGCTCTAGAGAAGAGGTGAGACACAAAAAAAAACAACAGAAAAAAATATACAACTGAGACAGAAAGATATGAGAGAAGTGAGAGTGGTGTGCTTGTATTGTTTACAAAAAATAAACTGTGCACTAAATGTGAAAATCTTGGTAGACTAGCACACTTACTTTATGATTATGCAGACCCAAACAGACGCAGATAAATTAGCACGTCTACTCACCACAACGGCAAGTAGGAAAATATATGTAAACGAAATGATGAATAACAAAACTCACGTACGCCACCATTCGATTGACTGTAACATGGATTGAGTACCGAAAAATATAAAAGTAAGAAAAAGAAGTTGCGTGTATGTTAAGTTACTTTGCGTCTGTTAATTTTTATTTGTACTTTTTTATTATGCCTCTCATACTGAAACAAACAAAAAACCCACTTATAATCGTCATTCAACAGTCCAAATAATATTCCTACTGCACTTTGTTATGAAATAGATTGTAATAAGCATGTAACTTAGTAGTAAATAAGTAACTAAGCATGAGCTCGTGCAGAATTATAGTTTCGTTTTGAATTGACACAGTTTCTCCTACCGCTATTTAAATTTTATTTATATTTTTATGTGAATCGACACATATGAGATATATGTACATACGTACATGCAATGCGCGCGAACTTTTTTTCATCCAATGTCTCACAAGGCAATTCATTTTCTATGCAGTTTAAATTAAGTCAAAAGCCGTCGAGGCATTTTGAATTTGTGTGTAGACACTGTTTAAATTTCATGATATACTATCATGCTTATCGCATTAATTTCAATTAATTTTATTTGTGACATTTTCAATTTTTTTTTTCTTAAGTTTAGACCAAAAATAGCATTCATTCCTTTTACTAAATGGATGTTAAATGTTAGTCAGAGGCTTATTATAATAGTTTGGTGCTGCTGACGATGTTGAAGTCTCGTATGTTGCAAGATTATTGCCAAAGAGTGAAAGTAAATGAAGAAAGAAATAATAATAATGAATTAAAATTATTCAATAATACTCATAGCAAAGATCGAAACTGTAAGAAATAACATCGATGCTGGTCACATAATATTTTCGTCTGGCACTCGATCAAGAAGGTTTAATGATTTGCCGACTATGATGGTGTCATAATTTTTCTCGATTCGTTTAATTTCCAATAAATAGATTAAATCACATTAAGATAATAAGACGTGTGAGCATAGCATTGAGGAAAAAAATTGCGATCAGTTCAATGTATGAACACTTTTAATGTAAACATTATATACAAATGCATAATCGAAATTTGTCCCCTATAGCGACCGAAGAGAATTGATCGATGATTTAAATTGCTACAATTTTACTTTTGTGTTTTCCTTTTCAGTGACTTAATCGACATCGGTGACAAGTTGAAACTTAAACAACAACAGCAATATTATTTTTATAGTCAAATCACTTTATTATGTTGACATGCGGGGTTCGGTCAAAATAATAGTGAATACCTTCATGCTGTCAAATGTATAAATGAATAATTTTTCTTCCTGTACACTCCATATATTAGAGAGGTACACAATGATTTTCGTATGTTTTTCTGTAAATACAACAACAATTTCATTATCAATGCACATGCATCTCATTTGTTCAACAATTTTCTTCTTTTTTTCCATGCTTAGTTTTTGCAAAGAAGAAGGTTAAAAAAAGAAGAAAAGAAATAAAAATGTTGAGCAATAATCTCCATTATTGCGATGAAAGCTGCAAAGTAGCGAAGAAATTAGCACATTAAATGTCAATGGCTCTTCCTTGTACAATTAAATTAAAGATTTTATAGGCAGCTTAGGATTATATCATGCTTAATTTTTTATATTAAATCATACCGATGAATTATTTTTGCATTATGATTCTTACTTTTTTTTGTGTACAAGAGATGTTCAGGATTTAATTCGTAATCAAACAGATGCTGTTTGTCTATTCGACGAATTTTGGTTTACAACCAGAAGAAACTGTATGAGCATATAAAGAATTTGTTGAATGGGACAATAAAGAGTCTTTTAAATATATCTGCTAATTGATCATTTTTGATTAAAAAGCACCAAAATTTACTTTAAAAATTTTTTCAAGAAGGTCTGAAGTGTTTATACTTATAAAATATTTGTTATCTCTCATTATGGTCCAAAAACCACTTCAACTCACTTACTTAATTTTCAATCAAATATATTTGCATTTAATTTTTTTTATAATTAAAGCCACACATTTCACATTCATTACGACTTTTGTAATTTTCATGCGAAGATCATGAGAGTTAAAGACCTTCACAATAGGCCAAGTTAATTGCGACCCGAGACATTTAAAATGTTTACCGAGAGATCATTGAATGAATGCCGGAAGAATCAAAGCGATAAATATTATTCATTGAGTAGTGAATGACTCCAAGATGCATACATAGTAAAATTTACAAAAATGCTTGGTATATTGTACATAATACCTTTTCGGAAGTTGCATTCTATTGTTAAGGTAATCTTGTTTCTTAAAAAAAAAACATTTTAATAAAAATGATAATTCCATTTAAAGATACATATAACTTAAACTGCCCATAAAATTTTCAATTTGTTAAGATATCAATTCAAAAAATTTTCACACATTTTCAACCTCCATAAATTGTAATCATCTTCATGATAGGAACTTGATGGGATCAGTCGCATAAACCTGTAAATAAGCTTCATCTTATTCATATTTATGCACCGATCGATAATGAAATCTCATCAATAAAAATATTGGTGTAACATACAAATTATGCGCATATACAATTAAGCTTTATTTCAAAATCATATGTTTTGACTTTTGTGCATTGATGTATGTCTTATATGTTTATGTTTTGGCGTACGTGCATTATTTAAGCGCCTCTCCAGCTGTTCGCAGTGCTAATACATGATGTTTGTTAATATAGGTTGCCTTTTTCATTTCTTCACGACTCTCCATTTCTTCTCATTCTTCTCATTGCCCATACTTAAAAACACTTCGTTTTTCACAACAGTGAAATGTGGGTATGTATGCAATATCTTTCTTTATGCCTATTAAATACATTTATTTCTTTACTTCTTACTTCATTTTGCTTCGATAACACACTTATTATGTAATTGCGGTATACAATGTGTGCCACGAAGGTCTCATTCTTCGTTTTTAGCGCAGTTTATTTTAAAGAAATGCTGCTATTGTCCGCTCTTTTTTGACAGACTATGATGTTTTATGGTAAAATTTTTCCATGCATTTTCCGAGTTTTTCAAGGAGTCTTATTATTTTTTCTATATATTTTTCATACAAATTCCAGCTTGGAAACCCATGTAAAAGTTGATTTGACTTTTGTTTGAACGTTTCCATTACTTTTCAAATATTTTTAAGACGTTACTATTCAAATGATTTTTTCAAATTTATTGAGTTTTTAGATTTTAATTTCTACTCGAATTCTGTGCGGAGAAAATGCGATTCGATCGATCACGTGGTATCACCTCTTTACCTTTTTTTTTGTATTAACGACACAGTAAATGCAGGCATGTACGATGCATCATCATGATGACGTCACGATTGATTTTATTTTTTTTTATGTTCATACTTATTGGTAATTTTTCATTTCTTTTCTCTCTCTCTCTCTCTCTCGTTCAGTTTACGCCAGTAAATTTTGAGCAATTTGCAGGCAGATTTTTTCTTGAAAATGCTATTTTGGTTCTCTTTTCAGTAAATTGAGCTGCGCAAGATGGAATTGTGGAATTTTGCTAACCTGATTTACAAGTACGAGTTGAAGTAAAATTATATAACCAAGGTCACTTTTTTAAAAGCCGACAGTGCATCAAATTATGTGTAATGAGATGTCGAGCAAATGATTTTATTGTAAAAACATCAGAAATTAACCGAATAGCAAAAACGTGCTCACTTTTGTGAGTAAATGTCTGTGATTTTCTGCATTAAAATTGTTGGGAAATTAATTAAATACAAATATGAAAGTTGACCGACAAAAAATTAAATGTTTTTATTGATAATTTTTCATTTCACAAACCCTCAAATTGAAGCCGCATTTACTCAACATTATTTATTGTATTTTGATGGTCGCTACTGGGTTAAATAATGAGCTATCGTCGTACATATGTAAATGGAGAGAAAGATAGAGAGTAAATATAAAAAATTACAGAAGTCCTCGTGTTATTGATCGAGGAACTTAAGCGCATTTTTGTGGTAGCGATCAGTATTTGATAATCTAATTATTTTGCGTTCGGTTACAGATCATGAGAAGATTAGAAGATCATTAATTTTAGTGTAATTAACAAACAATTACAATAAATTTCCATGTAGAAAGGCTTTATCATTTAACTGTTTTTTGGAATTCAAATTTTCTAACGGTCAAAAAATATTTGAACTTATAGAGGTAATATAAAATTTGAACAGGTCACACAGTACTGAAATAAAAAAAATCATTAATTATAGCAAAAAGCCACTGTTTTATGCTTCAAAAATATTCGATCGGCCAATAACTCGATAGAACTGAGCTAATAAAACAAATCCGAGGTCTCCACGATGTCTGGTTGCAAAGTTTTTAACGTGCGTTGAGCAGACGAACAGCCGAACAAAGCGTATTATTAAGCTACCTTTTCGAAACAAGTTTCAAAAATACGCTAAAAATAATATAATAAAGGCGATGTATTGATTGGAATTTAATTGAAATCATATACATAAATTATTCTGTTGCATAATTAAGTACTTTATAAAAAGCACAACATAGTTGTTTTAATCTGTAAAAACGGAAGAACATGGCGCCTTAACTATTATGATGCAATTCAACATTTTGTCTGACTTCTTTACTTCGGATAAAGATCACAATATAATTATTATTGGCATTATTACATGCCAAAGTTTTCATTTCAATTGAGGTAGAAAATATACTCCGGAAATGAGATTTTTTTGGAGATTTTTCTCAATATTCATAATTATCATTATTGTCATCATTTTCGTCTATGAAAAATTCATGTGAAATT